GAGAGAGAGAGAGAGAGAGAGAGTGCGATGCAGTGGGACTACTTGCTGGGGCCGCCATTTCATGCTTTTGTGGATTCGACCCATGTTGCCACGTATGTGTGTGCTGATGTGTTGGTGTGAGTTTATACCACGGGATTTATCTTTTCTTAAACATGGAATTTATCACGTGAACGAAAACCCCATTCTTTGAACTTTGGAGAGGGATCGGGGAGTCTGGGGTATCCGAGATCGCTCATTTGGGCGGGAACCAGAAGTACCTCGGGGACTCGACATTCCTGATTCAGGCGATAGCGTGAATTCCCAGTGAGATCGTTTTATTATACTGGCAGCCGTTAAATCCAAGTCTCAAGATTGACTCGTTTTTCTAGAATTTAACCTTTCTGTAGTCGGTAGACAGACATCAGCCGTTGGCTTTATTTACTAAATTGATAATGCGGAGCTTTTCGGCTTGAGGTTGCAAAAAAGTCTAATCGTTAGTTCATTTTGGTAATGAGGTGGTAGCCACGAGGGCTCTCGATGGGAGGGAGGTTCCAGTGAGGAGCAGAACCCATTGCTATCTTAGGTGGATTCAGCCGGAAATTACAGGAAATCTACGGCTGATTGTATCAGCTGCTTTCGACGTCTTGGTTTCCGAGCTTTACTTTTTTGTCACCCCGAAAACTGATCCTCCAGAAAGATTAGGTGGAGAGGTTTTGGGTCAGAAGTAATAGCTTCCAGTGAAATATAATCCGCTTTACAGAGATCTTCTACTGCCAAAAATCGGGGCAAATGGTAATTTGAGGGAGGAATTAAAGGAAATTAATAGAGCAATGGAAATTACTTCATGAAAGGAAAGGAAGTGCATTAGTGGAATGAATTTGAGTACAAGCGCTTTGACCTCCGCCTAGATTAGTTAGTGAATTGAGTGGATAATCACTGATGGTATTTCAGCACCTGCTGTAATACAATCCTTAATTGCGGATAATTAAGTGCGAGTTGGACTTCAAGAGTTTCGCAGCCAGCGGTAACCGAGAGGTTCAAGGTCTTTAGATATCCTATGTAAAAACTAGTTGTCGTTGTATCTATTTAGTAAGAGCATTGAAGAGTTATTATTTTACACGGAGAGAAATGTTCAGTAAAAATTACGGAACAATTCACGTAATCCGGAATGGGGAATCGTTTTACGGCAATTTTTATGGGATGGAGGAGAAGAAATCTGGAACGATCAGTGAATTTTCAGGTTCATCACCGAACAAAGTACTAAATTCTCACGTCATTTTTCCCGAAGAAGTAAAATCTTACAGGAACTTGCCGACTTATTGTCCCTCCAAAATCAAAAATTCTTGGACGTTCAACAATTTTTATGAAGCTGGTGAGTTATTTGTACGTTCCGTTCCGTAAAATTTCTCAATCGTTTGGGGAAAAATTACGGAACGACTTGTTGTCCCCACAAATCGTAGAATTGACGTGGCGATTCGTACAATTTCAGTTCCGACTCACACTTTTTATTGAATTCAGTATCGAAGTGGTAAACCGGTTCAAGTCGATTTTGACTATTGACCAGTTTTTAGTGAATATCACGGAATCAAAGGGAAATAGCTAAATTTTTATCAAAACCTTTTTTGTAGCACTCAATTTGCTCTAGAGAAAAGGTTACTACGAAAATTTCATGATCTCCTTTAAATTCGGAGATATTCTTCAAAAACTCAACTAAGAGATAAGTCGACTTGAACCGTTTTACCACTTCATTTTGACGTTTTTTTCTGGTAATGTTTATTGAATTTTTCTCTCCACATAAGTTAAAAAAACCCGAAAAACGGGCAAACCAAGAATTTTTCATTTCCCCTTGTTTTTAGGTTTTTCCCCTTTTCAATTACGTGAGACCCACTTTTGATACGTTATTGCTGGGTGCGAGAGAATTAAATGTTGGTCATAAGCGCACTTGAATAGCACAATATGTCGCGAATGCTGGCGACCCAGTTGCTAATGCTCACTGCACTCGGAAGCGAGATAACAGTGGATGGTATTTCTCCAGGAAGAAAATACAGTTTGTCTTGGTGACCCACTTTTTTTCCAGTGATAGAGAAAATACCGCAGGGTTGTTGAGAACGCCGGATGGTGCATGTAAGAACTGGTAAAATCCAAAGGAGTTTGGCTTTTGTGGTCTGAATTGGATCGGGTTCACTGTGAGGAAGTAACTTATTTCGTCCGATAGCTCTACAAAATCTCATTCTCGCTTTTTTCTTTCATTTAAACTGAAAAACTTCTGAATGAGTTGGTTCTCATTGTGTTTTTCGGTCTTCCACCGACGATTTATATAAATTAGTTTTATGAGTAGATAAGCGTTGCATCCAAGCTCTACACGAAGAAGGAAGAATTCTGCGGAAAGTTTAATGGAACTGATATTAGAATTTTACAAGTCAATAATCTACTTTGAAAATCGGCGAATAGTACGTCTCAAACTTTTGCACTGGGAAAGACAATAAAAATTGACCACTTTTTCGACTGAGAAAAACTCGATGAGATTGAGCGCATCTCTGAGGAAGAGGAAAATCTTCAGATCCGGGCAACGTACCCTGTTATCACCTGAAACGTACATGAGACGTTGGGTACAGGAGAGCTTTCGAAGAAAACTGCGAGGCGCATCGTTGAGAAAACGAGTGGAGTTGATGGGACCAATCCCACATGCCCCCTTGTGCACCGTATCCAAGATTCTCCGCCACTTTCTCGTCTCTTCGCCCGCGAATCCCCCGATATTTCCCGTGTTGACGAAAGCGAACGGCTACAAAAGAGGGTAGCACTCATTGTCTATGAAGCTCGCACCCCAATCATGCCAGTCCCACCATATTTTATTCCTCTATTCACGACAAGATATTTCGAATATCTCAACTAAGAGCCCATTCACTCCTCCCTCTGCGTGATATGACATAATTGTTTGTTTTTTGTGCGTAGGCGTTGATGGCGCGTCATTAAGATTATGTCGGGTGTATCATGATACTCGAATTTTGCGGAGAACAATCTATCAGCTTGGCTAGTGTCCGAGATTTCGGGGGTGGAGGGGGAGGAGGGGAGCCTAATGCAATATATCCATGTGCCATTAGTATTTCAAGTATGGCCAGAGGATCGTTTAATCTTGGGTTAGAAATGATTGATGCTTCCTGACCAGGATTAGTACCCGGAGAGCAAAATTCAATAAAAATTACCGGAAAAAAACGTAAAAATTACGTTTCGAAACGTAATCCGCGAGCGAAGTAAAATTCAATAAAAAGGGAAAGTCGGAACTGAAATTGTACGAATCGCCACGTAAATTCTACGATTTGTTCCGTAAAAATAAAACACTCGTAACGAGTCGTTCCGTAATTTTTCCCCAACGATTGACAAATTTTACGGAACGGAACGTAGAAATAACTCACCAGCTTCATGAAAATTGTTGAACGTTCAAGAATTTTTGATTTTGATGGCACAATAAGTCGGCAAGTTTCGGTAAGATTTTACAGAAAATCTTCCTATAAAAATTGCCGGAAAGCGATTCCCCATTGCGGATTACGTAAATTGTTCCGTAATTTTTACTGAATATTTCTCTTCGTGTGATGAACTTCATCACTACTCGAAACTTTCTGTATTGAATTAGTAATTAAATTTCAAGACTGGAGACCTGCAGGATCGTCAGTACGACACGAACAGAAATTTTTGATAAAAATTATCCGACTGTTCTATAAAAGTGTATCATGAGTCATCGTTTCCTCATTTCCATCCCGAAATTTAATGATGATCAAATTTTATTCTACGTTAGAGAAATTTTATCCTGACGCATTATAAATTTTACCCTTCCAGTCCAATAATTTTTATGTAGATAATGAAAATTCTAGAACGGTTGGTAAATTTTCCCTTCCCGGTAGAGTAAAAATTACTGTTTCAATTACTGCACGGTAATTTTTATTTTTATCAGGATAAAATTTTTCTAACGTAGAATAAAATTTGATCATCAAATATCAATTTTTTCTAAATTTCGGGATAAAAATGAGGAACCGATGATTCATGATACACTTTTACAGAACGAAAGGGCAATTTTTATCAAAAATTTCTCTCCGTGTATACGTTAATAATAGTTATCCTGTATATCTACTCATACTCGAGTTCAATTCCGTCCCTGGAAATAAAATGAGAGAGAGATGAAAGTGGGCACGACTCAGATGAGATCCTATAAGACTATGGTATCCTCTTGAGTGAGCCGATTGGTATTCAGGACGTTACCACTTTGGATCCTATCCGTCGATAATACGGAAACAAACTACATGTCTAGCGAATTCCAGTCTTCTGAATGTCGTATGTGTTCGCACTCTTTTGTTTTCTCTCCCTTGTTTTGAAAGTTTTGCTCAGAATTTCCAAGGGATGAGGATTGCTGTGGGCATAACAATGAGATAAATGCGGACGAAAGCTCGGAGTTTTCGACTATCTAGATTAACCCCACGTCCAGGTGACTGTGGCCGCGAGTGTTGCGCTCCTACCCTGCGTCATACTTCTTAGTGGATGTAATCATATCCTCTCCGACGGCGTGTATATTTTCCTGGAGGTGCTCGAGGCGTCAGGGTTTTCATTCTGGCGGGGTTTTGTTTTTCTTCTTCAACCATCAAATGACACTTGGCACGTCTTTCGAGCTACAAAGTATATGACGACTCTCGACTGCGTCAATGACACTGTTTCGGAGTGTTTGTCTAGACAATGCGAATAAGGATGTGTTGCAATGCAAAAAATGTCAATTTTTCGCATGTTATTCCATCATATTAATTTCACTTTTCATTCTTTGATTTTTTCATAAGAATATGCAATCGAAAAGTGGTAGTTTCTTTTAATTAATTGTAACAGTGTAATGATTTTTGCTCATCAATTTGAACTGAAAATAAACAAGACAAGAAAGTGACTATTCAGCTATGCTGTTGAAAATTTTTGTTTGAATTTTCCGTGTCGAATTCCGAAAATTTTTATCGTGCACGGAGAGAAATATTCAATAAAAATTACTATCTTTTCTATAATTCCGGAGCGAAATGTGGTTGTAGGAATTTTTACGGGACTGTCACGGAATTTATCCAGAGCGTTCCGTAATTTTTATCTGAATCTTCGGTGAAAAATTACGATATCGTCATTTAAATTTTCTGAGTCGATTCCGAAATCGGTGAATTAATTGTGAGTTCCGTAATTTTTACTGAACATTTCTCTTCGTGTGTTCCAATTCCACTGAAATTTCAGGAAATCTTATCGCTGAAAATTCAGAATTTCGTGGAGAAATCAAACAGAACTGTAAATTTTCGTGAAAATCAATACAAAAGTAAAAAAATTGGTAAATATATTGTTGACTTTTCAGAACAATGCCACTGAATTCGATTTTGGGGGGAAAAAATCATGAAATTTCAGATATCACTGAAAATTCAATGCAATTTGACCCTGAATATTCATCTTCAATTGGAAATTCAAACAAATTAAGGAATTCTCGTCTTTATGCCGCTGAAAATTCTGGAATTTTACTGAATTTTCAGTGAAACCTGAAATTTAAACTGTCCACGAAATTTCATTTTTTTTCCAACCATGTAGTGTATCAAGCGAAAATCATAATTCTAATTATGATAATTTAAGAAATTTGTTCGCCAGACAGACGTGGTTTTTCAGACTCAGTGCAGCTCATTTAATTATGGTATTTACCACATTAATTGGGCATTTACATTATTGAGTCAATGCTAATGATCCATTGGTACGATTTTCACGAGAGTTTTCAGCGAATTCATGTACAGGTCTCGTCCCAAAACGAGAGCGGAAAAAAAGTGGAAGGGAGTAGCAGTGCTCGAATTGAGTTTTGTTCCACGATTCGAATTAATGAATTTATGCTTTGGGGATGCTCATAATTTGTACAGGCGACGGTATCATTGCATTATCATGCTCGGCACGAACCGGCCAATTACCAAAAACAAGCTAACCACAGTGCGTCCCCTCTTGCTGTGTGTCGTTTCTGGTTCGCGCGCCCGATCCGAAGCGATTCACTCCACCGGATGTGCGATATAACTCTGAGCCCACAACAGAGGGCTACAATTATTCCGGCCAGAGGCTTCGTAATGATGCTCGGATATTTCGGGTAATATTGTTCTACATAATATCAAGCTAGGGAGTAACATGTAAAACACGATATTTTAGGCATAACAATGCCTGTATCGGGGTTTGGACGGTATTGTTGATGATCGTCAAATTGAAATTGGAAACTACCTATATGAGGAATACTTAATACTTAATACCAGAGCCGGGACATGGAAATTCAAATATTCGTTGTATTGACTGAACGTATTTTCGGGCATAATGAGTTTTTAAATAAAATAAATTAAGAGGGAAATTTATGTGAGAACGTTTATTCATATTCAGTTCATATATCCAGAAATACAACCAATTGAAAATGCGTTATCAAAGGTCAATAGTGGCACGCGTAAAAAAATTCAATAGAAAACCTTGCGAATTCGTTAGAAAATTCTATTGGAATTCTGTTGAAAAATTTTGTTTTTTGCGCTGATTCTATTGGATATTCAGTAAGAAAAAGTCAATAGATTTCGAATTTCTGTTTGGAATTTTCTCCTGAGATTTTTTCTATTAGAAATCATTGGGCACAAATTTCCAAGTTTTTTTCACTGGATTTTGTTTTATTTTGCAGTACAAAATCTGAGTGGAAAAAACATAGAAAATTGATATCCAAGAGAAAATTCCAAACAGAAATTCGAAATCTATTGACTTTTTCGTGTCGAATATCTAATAGATTCAGCGCAAAAAACAAATAGAATTTTTCAATAGAATTCCAATAGAAATCGTATGGAAAGCCCATAGAATTCCTATAGAATTCCAATAGAATTTTCTAGCGACTTCGCTAGGCTTTCTACTGAATTTATTTCACTGTCCATTTCACTGAAGATCCGATTGGCAAATGGGCCTCGGGCAGCACAAAGGAAAAGCTTTGCTGTAATCGTAATCTTTGTATCCAATTTGATCCCTGCAAGTGTATGCTCCACAGCTAAACAGAATTATAAAATTCCGTGAGATCTCATGGAAATATCAAAGCACCTCTCGCAGATATTATTTCAGTATTTATTGACTCACCCACGTGAAGACCACGAACCATCTTCATTGCAAGTGTGGATGGCGCAGTGGTGTTCTACTTGAGTTCCAGCAGCCACTGGACTTTTGTGGGGTGACGTCCAGCCTGGTGGTCTAGCTTCGCCGTAAAATGGAGGGCATTCGCCTGCAGATCAAGTGAAATTTTATAATTGCGAAAATAGCACACTGTTAGAAATTTATTGAAATTTCAGTCTCAATCTCATCTGAATTTTCAATGTTGTGAGGTTGAATTCAATTTCAAATGAAAATGTTCACTAAATTTCTCATTCATCTTGAAAATTCAGGAAGATTGGGGTTTTCATGTTACAGAATCATTGATTTTTCAATGAAGGCTTGAATTTCCAAACTCATCGTGAAAACTGAATATCACAAACAAATCAATTTTCAATAGATTGAAAATTCGGAGAAGTTATTCCCTGAATTTTCCAAATTTTCAAGGTTTTTCAGCGCCATATGGACCTGAAAATCCAGAATTACTTTAATATTTAAGAAATTAACTGATTTATCAATGAAGAATTATACAGAAATTGAATGTATTATAACTTTGTCGTTGTTAAAAATTTCAGGCTTTTTCACTTGAAATTTCAAGAGTAATTTTCTAACAGTGCATGACAAATGATGGAGAATTAACAAATTACCCTGAACATTCGAAGACACACCCAGTGCCAATCCTAAAATGCCGAGAACAGCCAGAGTTTTCATGATGGTAAAAAAGAGGAAAGTGTTTCCACCGCGAGCGACAACCAACGACTCATCACCGATGTGTATCTATCGTACAATTTATACGGAAGATGAGTTGGGTAATCCGCAAGACAAATTATCATAAAGTGTAACTAGAATAATCGCTACTTATCTGTGATCTCTCAACCTTCATATACAATGACAATGAAAACATCATCTCGTTCAGCATTTGCGCAGCGTGCCGCATGTTATCACATTACATTCAACTGACCCACTCTCATAAATATAAATTTAGAGAAGCCAATAATAGTGATGATGCTACCATATTGGTATTTTCCTTGCTATCAAAAAAATATTTCAACTGAAATATCAATGAAGGGAAAATCCGAGGGGCTGGTCACTTAGGAAATCAATGGAAATCACAAGAAATCAAAAGAAATCATGATTTCTAATGTTGATTGAGAAATCACAACAATCATTTGAGAAATCACGGAAATCACAAGAAATCATTTAACTCTGCAAATCACTGAGTCACTCGATTGAGTTAAAAAGTCTCGTTTGTTTCGACTAAACCATTCTATCAGTGTATGAATTGCAATATACAGCTGTTCAATAAACTCTCCAGTATTTGTCAAATCCCCCATTTCTCCACAAGTGAGGGAGCTATCGAAATAGAACTAGTTGCCTTCATTACCGTAGGTTAAATTGATGCGAAAGAAGTAGCGAAAGCAATATAAAAAATTCCCATAGCCCATTATGGAAATTTTACGTTCTTTGTTTGAAATGAGTTGGTCTACTGCGACGAAATGAGAACATTGCGTTTTGGGGTTGAGTCAAAGTGCTCCCGAGATGCCATAATAAGGCAGCCCCACGATCAACCCTAGAAATGACTTTTACCCTCGGAAAAACTTTTAAACGAATCACCGTAGGACGAGTTAATGCATTCCTTTCTTCTCGAATCACACAACTCTCAGCGAAATCGATTTCAACTCATTTCTCTGAAAATAAAACTTTTTCCATTGATTCCTCTCCATCTCTGGATCTGTGGAATCTCCAGCTAAAATATCCACAAGCTATCAAAGTGGAATCACTCGGTGACAACGTAGAATGTTTTATTTTGCGTTCAACTGCGAAAGCGAGAAAAGTTTGAGTTCGAGTCAGAGTTGGAATAAAACATTGCGGTTGTGGGAATTGGGCCGAAATGTCACGGGAAACTTCGATGCAAGATTCAACACATGTTCCCACAGCCATGAAAAAATAGCGGACAACCTTCTAAAAATATGACGAGATTGCTCCCCTCAATAATTTTTCTAATGCATAATTTACAATGGGATTTACGTCCGAACATTTTGAAGAAAAAGAATGGATTGCAGCTGAGGAAATACTATTACCTACGTGTGGAGGATAGTAACCTTAAACTATGCTTATCTACTGATCCTCTCGGGGTAAAACACACATGAAGTAAACGGCTTTCGAAGGGAATTCCGCGTGAATCCGCGGTCGAGGGAGACTACGGGGGAACGCGTCCCTCTATAAATAAGGGATGGAAGCCAAGAGAGGGACGTAGCTATCTAGTACCCAAATTGTACACTCGAATATGGCGAGGAGACCCTGGATATAAATACCACGGCACGTTTAGGGGCATTAAGTTCCACAAGGGAGGGCATGCCGGTGTAATATGGAGGCTGTCCAGCTGTACACGTGGCAAAATATATTTGCGTGGGGCTGAGCACAGTGGGAAATCGATTGAGCGGTTTAGATTTCATCTGACGTGTAATTAACTGTGGAGTTGTAACATATCACCATGATTCCAGAGCGAAGGAGTTATTAGTAATTGATAATGAGTCGACAATTATTCAAGTCGCTGAATAGAACACATCTGTATTTCATCCGAGGAGATGAATTTGAAACTGGTTATTGCTTGCTGATTGAAATATTGGATTACAGAACAATCGGTAATATGGAAACCCGTAGCTCTGGGCAGTTTCAATAATCCCAGCGCAAGACGATATAGAGCGACGATGCGCTCCACGAATATCAATACATCAATGTGATTAGTGGTAGACGTTTGATAGAACTAGTAACGAGCTTGAGCTACTAATTTCGAGTTCACTGAGGAGTTCATGGCACACCCTAAGGCACACTTGTATATAGGTGCATGGTTGGATAGTGCGTTACGAGGCGAATGTTGACGTCAAGATGCACGAGCTTATACCGAGCCTGGAGGGTATGCAGTTATGGTATCTTGAAGGTAATTAAGGCTTAAATGGAGTATCAAGTGAAATTCATTTGTAACTCATTATTATTTTCAGTCTCCACTAGTGAGGCCGCGAGACGCGAGAGAAATGAGACGAGATGAGACAAACGAGACAGGAGATATGACGAGACGAGACAAAACGAGACGGGACGAGACTAAACGAGACGAGACGAGGTGGGACGATACGAGACGCAACGAGACGAGACAAGACAAGACGAGAGAAGAAATTGCTCTCGTATTTCGATGCGAGACGAGACAAGAGACTGGTTTCCTACCAACGAGACAAGACGAGAAGATTCATTTTCTCGTTTTGTCTCGTCTGGTCTCGCAGCATCACTGCTCTCAACAACTATACTATTTCTACAGCATAGTCTATGCCCAGAAATGGAAGAGACAGGGAAGATAAGATGCTGTGAAACGAATTTAGGGAGTATTATTTCCTCATATGAATGTCACTTTTGCAGTTGGGTCAGATAAATAGGTTAAGATAAGAGGGCGCAAGCTGATAGGGCGCCCACTAGACTGGCAATCTTTTCTTATTCTTGGGTATATTACTCCTTCTATGTCTCACTGGTTTATCTGAACGATGTCATCGCAAATTGCTCTTTCACTCGTTGTCTGATTTTGGCAACTGAAAGAACTACTAATCGTTTCATTTTGTTTGTTTGTGCTTTGGAAATGGCAGTAGAGGATTCTCAATGGAAAATTGAGGGAGAATTCATGTTCGTAGAAAACAGGGATTCTATTTTCAGAGATGCCATTCTTTACCACAAATATCGAATCGGCCGCAGATTGATGCAATATTCAGAGGCATCACGGAAAGATGATCGTGCCATCAACTTCGAAGATGCCATATCCCAGAGGGGCACTAAATTCGGGCGTCTTGATGTCTTTTCTGTTTTTCCCTTGACAATTTGGTGTCTCTGAGAATACGTGTGCCTCGTTTATTATTGAAATAGCTCATTTCAGACGATTGCCGTGTAGATGATCCAAACCGTCACGGATTTCATTACAATTGTAATAACGACATTCATGAATCTCACTTTATTCCCCCACGTTTCCCTCGGAATCGAGTGCCTCATCAATATAATGAAAATAAGTTGTAGAAAATTTTTCCTAGTCCAAAGTCAGCCGTAGCTATTTCCTTTGTACATGCAGCAGCTCCACTTCTATTCACGAAACGTAGGAGTCCAACCCCTCGCCACCCTACCTTCAAAATAACTATCAAGCCATGGAATCGGTTCCCCGGGTGAAAGTCCCTGGGATTCGATTACGAACAAGACGGATGAAGGCAGGTGGGACATTGATTTCGCTAGATTGCCTCCGAAACGTTTCTCCTTGTGCGTTCGGTAGGGACTATGCATCTTTCCTGAATAGGTTATTTTTTTTATCAGAAAGTAAATGCGTTTCAAATGAAGTTGGAATATGTCCCCCCCCCCTTTTGTAGACATTTTTAGACACTAAAAAACGTCTGGATAAAATGAAAACACTGCGAAAACTAATGTCTGAACTCCAGACACTTTTGTAGACACTTTTCAAACACTTTTGGGACCATTTTGCAGACATTTTTGAGACATTAATATGTGTCTGAATCAATGGAGATATTTCAATTTCAGACACCAAGATGTCTGGAATTAAGATACAGACATCAGTTTCAGACCCAAGCGGTGTTTGAAATTTTCAAACATCAGTTAGATTTTTAGATACGTTTAAAGATCCAGACGTTTTTCGCCATCTGCCATCTTAAATTCAGATGATTGTCAGACACCTAGTTTTTGCAGTGCGATGAGTCAACTTCTCAGACACGAGAAATATCTTAAAAATTAATGTTTGAGTGGACTTCGCCGTCTGAATCAGGTGAGATATCTTAATAGACACAGAAAATATCTGAAAATCAATACCTGAAATTTTTCAGACACAAAAAATGTCTGCCATAATTTTCAGACAGAAATGGTGGTTGAAATTTTCACACATTGGTCAGATTTTCAGACACTTTTGAAGATTCAGGCGGTTTTTACCATCTGGCATGTTAAATTCACATAGCTGTCAGACACCTGGTTTTTTAGTGAATTTGTTTGAATTTCAAACATGAATTAAGATGTTTGGGCACCGGTTCGTCTGAAATTCAACGTTTTCATTTTATTCAGACGCTTTTTAGTGTCTGAAAAATGTCTACAAAAGGTGTGGGAAATTCAGACATTCGTTTTTGCTGTGATGGTATTCTATCTTTCCAAGTTTTGCACTGTAAGGATTTCAGGTGTCACATTTGTTTGGCAAATACTTTCTCACGTTAAATTCTCGATATTAAAAGAGAAAAGGTGGGGAAAAGGTTTGTGGCTGCGGAGATAAGTGGGTGAGTGGTATTGCCTGCTGGGTACAGACATCACTTCCCCTATACATTGTCAGCCACATTAGCATGAAAGGCGATGATCGTTGGTAGAGTGGAACTCTCGTAATCTTCATACATTACACGAAGGTTTATCCCTCGACTTTTTCCAGAATATCACAGCTCTGTTCAACATTTTTGGCGCAAATAGTGATGTGAAACTTGGTTTTGTCTTTTTAAGTGAGCTTCCGCTGAGAATTTCGTTCGCGTTTCAACCGAAACTGAGCAGTACATTTCAGTTGAGTTTTTGTTGAATAACTCGGAATTTAAGAAAGATAGCGAAATGTTAATCAGATCTTTTTCGTAGTCTTCACTTTTCTTTACAAAAAAGATTTTTAGGAAAATTTTGCTAACTCCTTTCAAATTTGAGAAGTGGCACTAGAATGGAATTGACTTAAACCGTTTGACCACATCACTA